GAGAGAGAGAGAGGTGGGGATTTGGGGACATGGAGGATGTGATTTTGAATTTTAAATTTCTATTATTAGTTAATAGAAATTTGAAATTTTAGAGGGATTAATAATTGCACCCACCGCCTTTTGCGAATTTGATAAGAAAGCATAAAATTCAAGTAATTTTAGATGGGCAACTCACCGTCATAAATTTGAGAGTAGGATCTTTTAAAATTATTGTTAGGATAGTGTATCCGAGAATATATATGCGTATGTATATGTGTGTCTGTGTGAATATGTGTAGGGAGTAACTTTATAAGCCCAAGTGGTCTATGAAGGGTCAGGATCTTAAACTTTCCTTTAACGTTATAAGCCCGTGTAACGAGGTGGATTGTATTAGGTAATCAACCAATGTAAAACTTTGTCAAAACTTTCTATGAATCTTGAATCTATGTTATCTACTTATGCTAGAGCGTTTCCCATAAGCGACGTGCTATACCATAACCCGGGAACAGTAAGAAATGAGCAAGCGTTAGCAAGGGTGTTCCCTAGAAGTGATGCACCGCAACGCCATTTAGTTGCTGTGAAAAATAGGGTTCTTAAATCATTCGGGACGAGCGCAAGTAAAGAAGCTAGTTCAGGAGAATAGCATTCGTCTAGTCACATGAAATGTAGGAACGTTTACAGGTAAAAGTATAGAATTGGTGAATACAATGGGGCTAAGGAGTGTAAATATAGTTCTTGTTAAGAAAGTAGGTGATAGGCTCATGTAATTAAACTTATATTAAAAAAAGAGATAATTAATGTAATCATGCACCACAAGTAGGGCAAGAGGATATAATTAAGAGACAATTATAAGAGAATGTTGATGGACTAGTTCAAGACATACCAAATGGAGAGAGGACCTTTCTAAGAGGGACTTAAATGGTCATGTAGGGAAGGATAGTAAATGATAGGAAGGGATACATGGGGGATATGGATGTGGTAAAAGAAATGAGATGGATGACGCTATTTTAGACTTTGTTATGGCCTATGACATAGCAATATCAAACACTTACTTAAAAAAGCCAAATGAACATTTAATGACCTAGAAAAGTGGATCATGTTAAAGCCAAATAAACTTCTTTCTAGTTAAGCAGATAGATCAACCCTCACGTAAAGATTGCAAGGTTATCTTAAGAGAGAGTTTGACTACGTAGCATAGGCTCGTGGTTATAGATGTCTGCATAAAGATGTAGAATAGAAGGGTGAAATTAATAGGTGTTCAAGAAATAGGTAGCGGAATTCAAAAAATGAGAAGACAAACTTATTTAGGGATAAATTAGTTAAAGAAGGAAAATGGAATGTTGAACATAAAGTCAACATTATATGAAATGAGATGGTTGACTGTAGTAAGAAAGTGGCAAAAAAAACTTTTAGGAGAAACTAGAGGATAAAAGAATTCCTATAAGGAAACTTGATAGTAGCGTGATGAGGTTCAGAAGGCCATTAACGAAAAACGATCATGTCATAAAACTTGGTAATGTAATAGAAATGATCAAAACTTTGAATAGTATAAAAATGATAAACAAGTAGTATGTAAGGCTAACCTTAAAGCATATGATAATTTATACACTAAATTGGGAACAAAAAGAGATGAAAATGGTACTTTCAAATTAGCAAAAATGAGAGAGAAAAAGTGTAGGGATCTAGACTGTATTAATGCATTAAGAGTGATGATCAAAGTGTCTTGGTGAAGGATGAAGAGTTCAATGAAAGGTGGAGAGCTTGATTTCACAAATTATTAAATAGCAAACACAATAGGAATACTACGGTAGATGGAACCGTTGGCATAAATGAAGACGGAGGTCATAGATACATTTGTAGGATTAGGATATTGGAAGTGAAAGAAGCTTTGAAAATGATGAGGATAGAAAAGACTTTAGGACTAGATGTTCTCCTGATAGAGGTTTGGAAGTGCATGGGGAGATTGGCATTGGCTGAATGACCAAGTTGTCTAACAAGGTGTTATGAACAAAGAAAGTGCCAGACAAATGGAGGAAAGATACTGTGGTACCAATTTACAAGAGCAAACGAGTGAATGAGCAACAACTAAGGCATGAAATGAGTGTATCAGAAAACCAATTCGGTTATATTCTAGAGAGGTCAACAACTGATGCTATTTTCATACGGAGGCAATTGATTGAGAAGTTCGTGGTGAAGGGAAAAAACCTCCACATGGTTTTTATTGATCTAGAGAAAACTTATGATAGAGTACCTCGAGATTTAATTTGGTGGGTGTTGGAAGAGACAATACTCTCCGCAGATTATATCGACTTGGTGAGAGATATGTATGAGGGAGCACTAACTAGTGTAAGAACAACTAGTAGAGAGACAAGTGGGTTTTTAGTGACAATAGGTCTGCTTCAGGGATTGTTGTTGCGCCCATACTTCTTTGCCTTAGTTATGGAAGACTTAAGTAGGCACCTACAAGATGAGGTACTGTGGTGTATATTATTCGTGGACAACATAATTTTGATTGATGAGACCCAAAGCAACATGAACACAAAGTTAGAAATTTGAAGGTGTATTCTAGAATCTAATGGTTTTAAAATTTGCCGGACTAAGACAGAGTACATAGAATGCAAGTTTAGTACTAATAGGAGTAGTGACGAGGAAGTAGTTAAGATTGATGACCAAGAAATACCAAAAAGAGCATACTTTCGATATCTTGTGTCAATAATCTAGAAAAATGGAGAGACTAAGAAAGATGTTGCGTATAGAATTAGAGCTGGGTAGGCAAAACGGAGACGTGCAACCAGAGTTTTTTTTGTAATTACCGCTTACCAATGAAGCTGAAGGGGGAATTTTGTAAGACAACTGTGATACCAGCTTTGCTTTATGGGGCAAAATGTTGGGCGGTCAAGAAACAACATATCCATAGAATGAATGTAGTTGAGATGAGCATGTTGAGATGGATTGAGTAACAAGACAAGAAGGGATAAAATTTGAAATGAATACATTCAGGAGAACTTAGGTGTGGCTCCAAGAAGCGATAAGATGAGAGAAAGTTGACTTATATGGGCTGGCCATGCGTAGTGTAGATCCAGTACGACACGTGTTAGGATGTGTGAGTTGGTTCAAGTGGAAGGCTCAAAAAGGGTAAGGGGTAGGCCCAAAAAGACACAAGTGAAAGTAGTGAAAAAAGATATGGAGACTTATATCTTCACTGAGGTATGGCCCTTAATAGAGCAGAATGGAGAACCATAATTCGTGGAGCTGACCCCAAACAGTTGGAAAAAGGCTCTGATGATGATGATGATGAACCTTTATAGGCCCATGAACAGTTGCAGTAGGATACACCCAATGGCCTAGATTGAATCTAGGCCACTCTAGCAGTCCATGATTGTATTTTGTATTTCAATATGAATTTTTTTTTGTACAAATGCAAATCACTTGGAATTTGGAGTGTCCTCTTCTCATCAAGACGCATATAAAAGATAATTCGTAAAAATAAATTAATTAAAATGCCTGTCTCTAGAACTTTTGGGGGTGTTTTGGTCAATGCATTTTTTATGAATTACTTTTTTAATATTTTATTTTTATTAGGTGCGCTTATTTTTCAAGAGTTTACGCTCACAATTTCAAACAAATTGGATTTGGATTTGTGTAGAAAAACTAATTTTCAAATACGAAACATAACCATGGCCATCCGATCGGTCCAGATCCAATCTGGGCCGTTGGGTGTATACTATTGCATCTGACAAACTCTTGTTAACTGGTTCGATAGCAATAGATTTATCCCAAACTATCTCATTGGGGAATTGACAATGCTCCATCTATTTGTTAGATTTTGATGGTCACTAGTTCAGTGAATTTTACACCACATAATATCTGGACATCATTTAGCTCAGTGAAGGATGCTTCCCTCATCAGTTGGAGTGGTTTGAGCATAGGAGGTTGCTTGATGACGGACAGAATCTAAGAGTGCCATATTCTGCATGGCGTCAGTGCGTAATTACTTTTCTTTGTCACCTCCGACAGTGTGATTGCGTCATGCTTTTCTTGGGACTGTGGCAACTGCTTTATCCATGTCGATGTACTTTGGTGAATATTATCCCTCTCAAAATTATGGTGGGACGCCAAATTATTGAGAACGGTCTTGAACCTCCATCTACTTCTCTCTCTCTCTCTCAAACTGTCCCCAGAAGACCCCGCGAAGTGGGGTGGGTTGAAGACCCTCTTGAAAATTGTAGTTGGGAAAAAGGTCGGCGGTTGATTCTCAAAAAGTTGACATTATGTGGTTATGAATTACACACCAAGGAAAATGATGGGTGCTTCAATTAAAATCAAATCAATTCTTAGTCGTATAAAAACCCAGGCTTATTTCTATTAACTATCTGAAAGTGTAAGAAATTGCTAGCCTTTTTCATTTGATAAGTCGGAAACATGTTTTGTTTTCTTAGGGTTTGCTAGCCCTTTTCATTTGATTTGTTGGAAACTTGTTTTCTTAGGGTTTGCTAGTCCTTTCATTTGATAAGTCGGAAACTTGTTTTCTTAGGGTTGATTGTCTCCTACTTCCTCCTCTTCTGTGGCTTCGTAATCTACCCACATAACATTCCCAGATACTGGAAATGGATGTACTACATAAACCCGCTCCACCACGCCAACTTAGCCTTCTGCTACCAACAATTCAATCACGGTTATGCCAGGCCTTGCGCTGACTTCATTGACGAGCTCCCCTTCTGCAAAAGCTCACCAGGTCAACCAGTTGGAAAAGCATATCTTGCATTCAATCAGATAGCAGGCAGCAGCAGAAGCTGGCTCCCATACGTTGTGATATTTGGTTGGATTATTATTATTCACATTCTAACCTTCATAGCACTGAATAAGATAGAATTCAAGGGGGACAATCCATCTTTGCCCCAGCTCAAAAGGACTAAGGTGCCTAGAAATTATGAGGAAAATGGGGCGAATGGTTTGTGTTCATCTAGCAGAGGAGAATCTGATGACAGCTTCATGTCCAAGTTGGTATGGCCAGCCTCACCTGACCTTGGTCCTTGGATGCCGAAGACTTGTGTGGACATGGGGTGGGCTGGGCTTGCTCTGCCTATCATTCCAATGGTGCTCTCATTCGAGAAACTTGCCCTAACAAGGTAAGCCATTTTTTATTTGTACTATATGTACCTTTTTTTTTGGTTGCTTCCTTTTTTTTTCCTTTTTATCGGCCATTTTCTTTGGGTGGTTTTTCATGTACTCCTTTAAATTTTTAGGAACCATTTAATTTATTGATGGTAAACGTATAAATGATCTGCGAGTTTCTCTGCTTTATTTTCCACAAATCCCTGAAAAACTGAACCTATTCATGAAATATTTGACGTCTTCCCTAACCACCTGTTTTTTATTAGCAGTTCAGAAGCATCTTTTTTATTAGCAGTTCAGAAGCATCTTTATGTAAAGTTCCTAAGCATGCAATCTATCTAAACTAAAATACCCAAACCAACCTAATTTTTTCTAAATGTCTTGTGCATCTAATGTTTGCTTGGTGTTCCTAGTATCTTTCCTATTATCCAAAATGCAGCACTGCTGCTTACTCTTTTTTACCTAACATGTACAATCACAGTTTGAATTTGAATGCCCACTAATCACGATATCCATGTAATTTATGTGCCCGTGAGGAGCATGCCCTTTTGGTTGAGGCATGTCTCAGTGAGCACATGCTTGGTGCCTTGTATGGTAGCATGCTGAAATTTTTTGGGTGTATACCCATGCATAGACTCAAAATCCATGCTGCCCCCTAATAATTATTTGTTTTCCAAACAGGTCCAACCCAAAGACCAAAGAAATCTCCCATGTGTTTGGTCCTGTCTCTGGCTTTGCAGTGCCTGGCACAATGCTAGCCCTAATCGGTGGTCTGAAATCGAGCAACTCCATCCTCCTCCGATGCCTAGCTGGCCACACCCCTCCATCAGGCAAACTCACTGGTGAGCTCCTTGCCAATGGCCGCCAGCTACCCTCCATCTCTGTATTCTCTCGTGTAGTTGGCATTGTCGTGGGGCTTGAAGCCCATCAATGCTATCTCTCTGTTCGTGAGTCCCTCCAGTTTAGTGCAGGTCTTAGGATTGATTCCTCTTCCCCAACCATGAGCCGCAGTGCCCTTAGGCTTCATGTTGAGCTTGTACTTGCTCAGCTTGGCCTCACCCCAGTGGCTGACTGGCTTGTTGGCTCCTTCTACAGCAAAAAAACCAAAGAAATTGCACGTAAGATTGCCATTGCCATTGAACTTGCTGCTAACCCTAGCCTCCTCTTCCTCGACAATCCTACCTCTGGCCTCGACAATGCTGCCTCTTTAACTATTCTTAGTATCCTGTCTCGTGTGTCAGCTTCTGGCCGGATTATCATCTCCTCTTTGACCCACCCAAGTTCCCGAGTCCTTTCCCTATTTCAACGTGCCCTAATTTTGAGCCACAATGGTGGCCATGCATATTTTGGGGCAGTGGGTTTTGACTGCAAAGAGATTCTTGACTTCTTCAACTCGATTCCAAAAGTGCCCCAATATCTTGGAACACAGAGTCCAACTGACTTCGTTATGGACATACTTGGTTGTGGCATCAACAATCGCAAACCCCCTATAAAGAACTTTGCATATATATACGAATCCAGTACGTTGCATGATGCCAACAGAAAGGAAATCATCAACGTGAGGAAGAGGTTGACTGGGCAAGGGAAGCCATATATGGCAGACTTTGCATACCCCACGACATATATACGGCAGGTGGCCATGGTAGTCCTAAGGAGCCAAAGACTCCTATGGAGGAATGTGCGCTACACGTTTGGGAGGCTTATTGGATGTGCCACATTAGGCCTCCTAATGGGCTCTCTCTACTTCCAAATCGAGTACAATGACATTTATGGGTTGACCTCAAGAGCACTCTACATATACATGCAACTCTTGCTGCTTGGTGTGGTCTCTGCTAACAATGTGATCCCTCAAATTAACAGCGACCGACCTGCATGGATTCGAGAGAGACGATTAGGATTATATGCTCCCTTCATATACCCAATCTCTTGGGCATTTGCTGAGGCCCCATACTTCCTCATCTCCAGTCTCGTGCTTGTAAGCATCGGGAATGGCCTTGCGGGAGTAGCCACAAGGAGCGTTAGAGCATTCCTAACATATTGGGTAGGGCTTTGGGCATTTGTCATGTGCTCGACTTGCTTTGGGATGATGGTGGCTCTCTTGGTTCCAACTCCTGCACAAGCTGCCTTTATTGTCTCTGTGATGATGTCTATGTGGGTCTCCACTTCTGGTGTGCTTGTGCTTCCTCCTGATATAAGACTATATTATCGTGCACTCTTTTGGTTCAACCCGTTTCGACTAGCTGGCAATGTTTTGACGTCGGTGAGCTTTTATTGTGACACTGGGAGGTGCAGGTTGAGTGGGGTTTGCAGCTGCCCAAGGCTGCCTGATGGGGTATTTGTTTGGGACGAGATCCAGGCTGCGAGGTGGTTGAACCCAGGTCGGGTTGGGTGGGATATTCTGGCGTTGGTCGGGATGAGTGTCTTGTTTACGGGACTTGCATCTGTCTTCTTTGTCACCCTTAGGCACAACTCGTCAGGTTCAAGATAGGGTGGGTGGTCAAATGTGGCAATTCTACATTTTCACCAGTTTTACTTAAAAGTCTTACTGTAAGAATTAGCAAATATACGTGGTTATGCGGCAGTGCATCTTTGTGGTGCTTGTTTTTGGGCAGCCAATCTGTGTTTTATGCTCACTCTTTTTATTCAGATGTAGTGTTGCAGTCTTCAATTCTAACCATTCCAAGCTTGAATCCTGAAGCTCCTGCTTTCTATCAAGATGTTCCGAGGTTCTCCATGTCAAATTAAGGTTGATATGCAAAGGCGAATAATTTAAACTCACATTTACATTAACCAGCCTCACTGGAACTACGACTTTTTTTGGTTACTTTAGCCGCAGGATTCAAACTTAACATGTAGTGTTGCCACAGTCGATGCCTAAAGAATCATGCGAGCGTGAATCTGAACCTTTTAAGTTCTCCTTTATCGAGTTTTGCACTGAAAGAAATGCAGTATTCAATTTGTCTTCTGGTTCATTTTGCCACATTTTCTTTAGAAGTGAAGAAAAAGCAAACAATCGCTTGACAAGCAAGGTTCAAATATTAATTAGAACATACTATAACCAGCAGGGCTGTTACTGCTATATAATAACTTATAAAACATATAGAATAGGAAATTCAAAATTTCAAATAATGATAAATGGTTTGGAACTGTTATCCTAATGGATGCTATTTTAGAATAGTTGATATAAAAGCATTGCAACTGATCATGGGTATTTTAGTGTTAGTCATCAGATAATCTATATATTTTTTTTAAAATAACTGTGTTATAAACGGATGTAATGGGTGTTAATTTTATTAAAAGAATGATAAACATAACAAGCATTATGAAGGATGTAGCACTCATTTTTGTCAAACATTTTGAATCTTATATAATGGCCTTTAGTCATTTAGCTGTCCATCATATTTAAAGAGAAATGATTCTATAGGTGAGACCCCTATAGATCACCGTTGATCTTATGATTCATATTTCAAAATAAAGTTCAGATTTCACTCACCCCACGGGTCCCTTTCTCTCTCCCTATAAATTAAACAGACCCTGTACTTATGAGCCGTACAACCTAGCCCTATCACTCTCGCTGCCTTTTCTCTCTCACAAAAAAAATGGAGTCTCCTTGCAACTGTTTTTTCTCTCTCCAGCCAGTTTTCCTCTCCCTCACGGCATATCTCCTCTCTCTCTCTCCTCTCGCCACCATCTCTCCCTCCTCTCTTGGCCCTCCTTTGCACATCTCCTTCTGCCTCACGGCCTTCCTCAGCTCTCCCTTGCACTTCTCTCTCTTAGAGTCATCGTAGCTCAGATTTTGCATCCCAACATCTAATGGGTTGCCCAATCTGCCCGACATTTGAATGGTGTTTACAATAAAAATACATTTTAAGTCCTTAAAATATTCTACCAAAGGAGATTATAGTTTTTGACTATCATAAGACTACTGGGTTCTCAACAATTTTGACATTTAAATTTTACTCGCCCATGCTATCTTTATTCAGTTCTGGATTTTGGTTTATTCAAGCATTATCGCTATCTTTATTCAGTTCTGGATTTGGTTTACTCAAGCATTATCCTTTAGGCTCATTTTGAAGATGAATTATCCATATTTGTTTTTCAATTACACTCTTGTATGCGTTTCTTCCCATTTCCTTGAACGATCCGAGACGCTGCAGATTATTGAACTAGAACTTGGCAATATTCCAATTTCCAAGTTCTAATCTCATGAAGAGTTTTGTTCGACTGTGAAAAGTGAAAACATTCAATTATGGAAGAACTTTATTGAGGTAACAAGTTTATGCCATCAAACCTTGAGAACAAATTAAGCCAGCAAATTCTAGCGATAGATATTTCAACTTTCCTCTTTAATAATTCCATTTACTATCATGTTATATGTAATGGAAAATAATTAGTTATCAGAGATAAGCCAAATTGAATTAATTGATTCCCTGTCAAACCCAATTGATGTTAAGCCATTTGTGATTTCTTTGGAGAAACACTTAGATTCAGAGTTAACCACAATTGATGCTAAGTTATTTGTCATTTCTTTTGAGATGTTACCCAGAAAGGCATTACATTTTATTGGGTTTCTTGTCGAGGATGGCCTGGATGAGCTGCAAATAGAAAATAATTCAAAAGCTTGTTGGGTGTTGGTTGAAGATTTTTCTGATGTGTTGAGCCACGACATGGAGAGAGAAATTGTAGAGAGAGAAAAGTTGTGATGGAGAGATGGTAGGGGGATTTGTGTGTAGTGGGCAAACTTTGTGAGTGCAGGAATCGATGACAGGAGTTATTCTGTATAGAGAGAAAGAGAGGTGCAGGGGAGGGCCGAGATATGAGGGAGGTGGTAAGGGAGAGAGAGGTGCAGGGGAGGTTTGAGAGGGGGGAGGCCGTGCAGGGAGAGACTAGCAAGAGAGAGAGAGATGCAGGGGAGGACCAAGAGAGGAGGGAGGCTTTAAGGCAGTGAGAGATGGTGGAGAGAGAGATATGCCGTAAGGGAGAGGAAAAGTGCTGGAGAGAGAAAAAAAGAGGTGCAATGAGACTCCATTTTTTTGTGTGCAGAGAGAGAGAAAGGGCTAGGTTGTACAACTTTTAAGTACGGGTCTGACTAATTTATGGGGAGAGAGAAAAGGATTCGTCGAGCGAGTGAAATCTGAATTGTATTTCGAGATGTATTTCGAGATATGAATAATGAGATCAATGGTGATCCATAAGAGTCTCACACCATTATTTTACTCATATATAAATAACAATTCTATATTTATTTACTTTTTAATGTGCAAACCCCTCCCCCCGAAAAATATAAAAACACACCTTTCATAGGGACGTCTTACATATTCTACCCACTTTGGTCATATAAACATGGCAGGGAAGGTCCTTTTCTGTTACAGTGGCTGTCATAACCATTGTTACCTCAAAAAGGGAGGAAAAATGTTCCATAAGTAATTTTTGTGAAGGGATGGATTGGAAGTATTTTTTATTATTTTTTTGAATTGTTCGACTCAGGCTTGACCGCATCACTTGGCCTATGACCTCTACCGCAGCGCATGGGAAGTTCAACAATACTCCCAAGTGCTGCTCATATCCGCCCCAGTATTTGAGCGTTAGGGCCACTTTTGTAGTTTTACTTATAAATTTATACAAGGTTGCAATATTAGAATATAGAAGTCAAGATGCACTTGAAAAATCCATCGAAAAATGTTGTTTTAATATTGAAAAACTCTCTAATTGATCATGTTGATATCAATATGTATAAATATATATATAAAAAAACAAAACAGATTTTAAGTCCAAGAAATAGCACGTCTTGCAACATATTATCTAGATGGCCCATTCTCAAAATTTTCATATTTTTATAGATCTACTTGATTTTAACCTTTTTTTTTTAAATTTAAAATTGTATAATTAGTTATGAAAATAGATTTTGAGATAATCCTAAGAATTTTTAAAAACAAAATTATATGTTATGATAAAATTTGGAAGCGCGTTTTAATTGGATTGTTTAAGGTTGCAACCTTATAGAAACCACGCCCTAACTTTTTAATGTTTTGAAAACTATTTATGACTAATTTTCAAAATTTCTACCAGTGAAATTTGAAATATTTAAAAAAGATGTTTTCTTTTCAACAAAATTTAGTTATTAGCTTCATTTCTTTTTGTAGTTTATTAGAACTGCAAAAATTTATTAAATTACTATATAATTTAGTTATAGAATCCCAAATATTTTGAAATGTGATATTTTTCTTCTAAAAATGTAGGATATCAACTTTGTTTCTCTTTTTGAATTTTATGAGCTTCATATTTTAAATTGTGGAAAACTATCATACTACACATGTGATTTCAACTAATTCTTAAGATTATGTGAAAATTTAATTTTATCTCTAATTATAAAATTTTAAACTCCAATAATGGTTAAAATTAAGAAGATCTATAAACATATGAAAATATTGAAAATGGATGGTCTAGATAATGTGTTGCAAGATGCACTATTTAAGTGACTCAATTTCTTTTTTTTTCATATTCATGCATCTTGATGTTGAGATAACCAATTAGAGGGGTTTTCAACATTAAAACAAGCTTTTTCAAAGGACTTTTGAGGTGCATATTTTGTTCTACATTTTAAGGTTGCATATGCATGAATAACATATATTATATTATTTATTATAATAAACATTTTATTATATGTATTTATTATGCTATATATATATATATAATACATGAATAACATATATTATATTCTATATTATAATAAGAGTAATGATCTTATGAGACCCTCTCACACTCATGTGTGTAGGACCCCAAAGGATCACCATTAAATTTAGCACAGATCTCTACAAAAGTTATCACAGGGTATGAGACTTGACTTTTCTAGATATATGTGTAAAATTTAATGGTGATCTTTGGGGTCCTACACACATAGGTGTGGGAGGGTCTCACAAGGTCATTTCCCTTATAATAATAAATATTATATTACATATTATATTATTTCATATATTGTACATTTATACTTATATTTATATTATTAATTATTTTTTATATTATATATATGATAAATAAATATCATATGTTATATTAACTATTATATTATATATTATATAATACAAATTACTTCAATAAAATAAACATAAAATACATTATATTATATATTATATAGCTCTATATTTCTAGTTATAATCTTCAAATATTGCATGTATAAATTTAATATATCTGTAAAATATATTTAAGTAATAAACAAGTTACTAAACATATGTTATTCATCACACAATGCTTTTTAAACGAGTTAACAAACATGGTTAAAGAAAGTTTGCAAAAGTTTTTCCTGCAAAGTGTTTACATATATAAATATTTTTTTTGGGGAAATATTTATGCATCAGCTAAACATGCCTTTTTTGAAAGTTATTTTCTTCTATTATACAAATTTAATAATAAAAAATATAGTTAATATTATAATTTTAAAAGGGAAAAGTTTATATAAGGTTGCACCATTAAAATGTAGAACTACGGATGCACCTCAAAAATTCATTGGTAAATGTTGCTTTAATGTCGAAAAATCCTCTAATTGATCATCTCGACATCGATATGTATAACTATGAAAGAAAAAAAAGATTTTAGGTCCTAAAAATGGTGCATCTTACAACACATTATCTAGATCGTCCATTTTCAAGAATTTCATATGTTTATAGATCTACTTGATTTTAATCATTTTTAAAGTTTAACATTTTATATTAGATTTGAAAATAAATTTTGAGATAATCTTAAGAATATTTTACATCAAAATTATATGTTATGACAAAATTTGAAGGTGTGCACCTTAAACAATCCAATTAAGGTGCACCTCTAAATTTTGTCAAAAATGTAGTTTTGATATAAAAAATTCTCTGGATGGCTTGAGAATCTATTTTCATCTCTAATTATGATTATTATTATTATTATTATTTTGAGAATCTCACTTGATTTTTGACAATCTCTAATTATAAAATTTTAAACTCTGAAAATGGTTCAAATCAAGTAGATCTATGAACACATGAAAATCTTGAAAATAAACAGTCCAGATAATGTATTGTATGATACATCACTTCGCGGATTCGAAATATTTTTTTTCATTTCATATTCATGCAACTCGTTGTCCATATGATCAATTAGAGGGTTTTTCAACATCCAAACAACCTTTTATGATTGATTTTTGAGGTGCACCTTCAATTCTACATTTTAAGGTTGCAACCTTACATAAAATTTTTCCTTTAAAAAATGTTTATCCAAATTATAATTTTATTTATTTATTATAATTTTATTATTTTTAATGATCACTATATTTCGGTGATTAGTATTAAATATCACGCAATATTAGTTTAACTCAAATGAATAGTGTAGACCACCAAACACTTCGTTTAAGTGTAAGATCGCAGTATAATTTTTTTTTCGTCAAAAGAAGAATCCGTAACTTTGTCCTAAAATTGCTATTATTTTCTACTAATCACGATTTATGGTTTAGATTCACCACGATGCTCACTGATATTTTGGCCTTCTGTTCCTCTTTTCTCTTCTGGATCACTTACCTTACCCTTCTTACAAACCATTGACATTTTTTTTTACGAAAAAGAAAGCAAAAGGAAAGAAAAATAAAAAAAATATACAACAAGGCCATTTACCTATTGTATAAGGTGGTCACAATTAATCTTCTACCTATTGTATAAAGTGGTCACAATTAATCTTGACCATTGAATGTGAAATTGGGTAGTTTTATTCATTTATTTCATTGACCAAACTCAAATTTCAAAAGAAATTTTTTTGTACTTTGTGACATTCTTAAGCTATCAAATTTAGCATCGGACGGTTATAAGTATTTGTGACCTCCTTGTACAATAAGTAAACGATACCATTATATACAATCCCAATATCATTAATTTACTGATGGGTCCATGCTCTCTCCAATATCGTCTACCACTTCAATGGACTAGTATTTTGTTTCAAGTACGTTTTGTCTCCTAACATTATTTATCAAGGTCCTTCCAAAATTATCATGGAAAACCAAATCCCAAGAGAAGAAGAACCTTTATTTAATGCGGAAACTCCACCATATTTATCAATACCGTATCAAACTGCTTAGTCCGATCGCTTGGACTGGCAATCAATGCCTTTGCTAGTCTTGTACATAATAAAAATCAAGTCGGATAAAAAAATAGTTAGAATGTATATTTGACCGGATTTGGTTAGTCAGATCTTCTAAATTGATCAAATAGAATGACATTTTTTTTATTATATTTTAGATTTTAAACTATAATTCTTAATCCTTTTAATTTTTTAAAAATTGAATACAATTGATGGGATCGAAAATCAAAATCGGTTTTGACGGAACTAGATCTCCCCCCAATTCGATGGTTGGTCCGATTTTTATAATATTGTGCTCCACTTTCTCTAGTAACCTCATTCTCTAGGAAGCTTGCTCATCTTTGCCTTCTCTTGGATACAAACACCTACCCTCTTTTCTCCTCCCATTTGAACTCACCTGCCACCTTATAGCTCACTTAAATCTTTATTAAAAATAATAAAATAAAATACGACGATGGATGTCTCAACATAATATCCTACCTTCCATTTCTACTATTAATACATCAAAAAAAAAGAGAAAAAAGTATCATTTATTTACATGTGGATCCCACCATCTATAAGCCAGTGACATGTAGCCTTACCATTAGATTTGGTCCAATTATTGTCTTTTTCTAATTTCGTCGATCCACATACAATATACCCTTGAAATATCGCCGAGTCAAAGTGGAATTAACTGAGTCAGTTCGGGACCAAGAATCATGCAATTCTTGTCTGAAGAATCATGAAATCACCCCGATTCTCCTGATCTTGGATTTTCTTTTTCCCAACTTTCTGTTAAAAATATAACCTGTCCGAGTCTAATTAGGTGAATTGGAATCGACCCTGGTGAGTCGGACACCGATTCCAATTTTGAAAACTTTGAAAAGTTCTGCATGTTTTTGCCAGCTCCATGCACCATCTCCACCTTTCGCTGCCAGTCAACCTCTTCCCACCACGTAGGCACAAGTCATCTTGAAAAGGAGTCCCAATTAAAATAGAAGGGATTCCTTATGAAAATAAGAGGTGGGTGGTTATTATAATGAATACCTCATAAAAGTTACAGTGAGATATTCAGAAAAGAAGAGAGAGGTTTCATACTCTACAAGAGAGAGACTTAAAAACTCTAATCAACACATACAAAGTGAGAGATCACAACAGCACAGACAAGTAAGAGAGTTAAAATGTAATGAACACATACAGAGTGAGTGAGATATCGCAGCAAGAAAAGAAAATTACACTGATAGGCATGAGGTCTTGTGATCCAACCCCAGGGGAGTAAAAATTCTTTTATGAGGATGGGCTGAGGCTTTAGCGATAGTACTGCTGAGCCTAATGATTAATTTTAGAACTTCATCCTCACTAAAAAAAAAAAGAAAAAAGAAAAAAAAGAGGGTAAGGAGCCCAAATCCCCACTAAATTATCAGTTTTTTTAATTACCCAAGTATTCTACATGATGTTTTCCTATTTTATAAGAGATATATTTTGAACCCAAATCCCCTTTTTTTTTTCATAATATACTCTTCCCCCCAAGCCCATGTGACAGGAGAGCAAAGGCGCCATTAACTTAACGAAGAGCCGAGGTTTTAAACAATCACCAAAAAAATTTAACTAAAAAAGGTTGTTTTGATGTCCAAATATCGTCAAATTATTCATCTCGACATCAAGATGCATGGACATGGATTCCAATTTTTAGAAATAGTACGTCTTGTAACGCACTTTTGGACTGTTAATTTTCAAGTTTTAATAGATTGGCTCGATCTACATTGTTTTTAAAGCTATAAATTTTATAATTAAAGATGACTTGATTTCTAGTATTGAAACCACACTATTTAGAGGTGTGCTCTAGTTTAATTGTTTAGAGCTTATACAAACCGCACTCTTTAACTAAAAGGCACGGACATGACAATATTGGTAAGAAATATTATAGGGAGCATGCATGGTATTACAGTGTTTTCAGCACCCTGAAAGAAGGGACTCTTAAGGCACGAGTTTCTCTTGTCTCATGAAGTCAATCCAATAGAGAATGGAAGAGACAGTGTCGCAGGTGTGGGTGAATCCAAACCGGTTGGCCTTTTCTCCGGTGGTCAAAATCTTGTAGGGCATCCTGAACAACCCATCCAAAAACCACCAATTTGCCATCTCCTCCACCTTCGTTTTTCTCAGCCCATTCCTTTCAATGATCTCAGCCCAAATTTCCCCTTTGTCGCCCATTGTTTCCACCACGGACCTGGCCGGAGAAAACCACCCATCCCCACTTTTCGGTGACATCTCCGGCTGCTCCAGTTGGAACTTGGCTGCTATCTTGGGCCACATCTCCTTCCATGTGAAATCCTGGCCATTGATTGCGTTGAATGGCTGTCCCTTGGTGGCATCGACACCGTCGATTGCTGCCCAGATATGTTGCCGGGCCACGAGCCGGGCATCGGAGGCATCGATGTAGGGCTCCTCCCAGCACTCTGGAATCCCACAAAACAGAAAAGGCATGCTCAGGTGCTTGCATAGGCTCGCGTAAACGCACAAGCATCCGACTACGTTGAATAGTGAAGAAGTGGAGCATCCCATCAAGAGTCCGGGCCTGTGAATTGACCATGAAACTTGTGTTTGGAGGAGTTTGGGCACGACCATGTCTTCGAGAGCATAGTAGAAACAATGGCCATCGGTTGTTCTCGGGCTCTCCTCATCATAACGATGGTTCTTTTCCTCTAAAGATTTGCCGGTTTCCATGATGATTTTATGGGAGATGTAGTGTCTGGTGCCGGTTTGGATGGTGAGGTGTTTGAGGTTCGGGGCATTCGGAAGGAGGGCATCGAGGGTGTTCGCCATCATCTTCGCATTCATATCAGAGCAATCGGGGGAGTCCAAAGGGAAGTCGACAGCCCAAGTGGTCCAGAAGATGTGGGTCACATCTTCAAGCTCCGAGAGCTTTGACACAGTCACTTCTCGATTTAGAAGATCGCATGCAATGGATTGGCACTGCTTCTGATGGTGGTGGTTGTCAGCGTCGTGCCCAGGTGAACGACGGGCCACGGCATAGACCTTGGAACAGTCTGGCCGGGATGCCAGTAAAGCCACGAGCTCCGCCCCCACGAGCCCCGTTGCTCCGGCGACTACAGCCACGATGGATGCCTGTGGTGCGGCTGTGGTGGACCTCTCTGAGTCAATTGCCGGGTCTTGTGGGGGTGAGGGGCGATCCATGGTTAATGTGACAATGGCTGGCACACATGCGTATATATAGATGCACTACAACGAGATGACGTATGCCTGCCGCAATCTCATTTTTGACATTTTGAGTTTATAAATTAGAAATAAATCATTTCATTTTTTCCCCTGACAATTTCCATTTCTATGGGGAAGTTTGTTTTGACTTCAAACTTCTCAAATCACTTCTCATCTCTAATAATAAATAAATAAATAAATAGAATTGAAGTCAAAAAAGAAGAAGAGAAATTTTCATATAGTTATATCTATCAAAAAATAACGGTGATGCATTTCTCGAATCTAAGCCTAACAGTAACTATATATGCTTTGGTTGTATCCAAATGGTACCCAAATCCTAGACAATATATTTCTTAGAAGACTTTATTTCATACTAGATTAATGAGATTTAATTAATCCATGGACTTCTAGGATCGGTTGTACATGGATTTAGCCGCATGGGCCATTAATAGATAGAAAAATGGTTTTTAAATTTAACCAAATTGATATCGCATTTGTATGGGAACGGGCTACCGTGCTTAGTTGGTGCATGAATCCATTTGTAATGGAATTGGGTTCTTCATACAAGTAGAGTTCTGCGATGGGGGCGCGGACCACCATTGTGCAGAACTACAATGAATGGAGCTCCATCCTAGCCAAATAGGATCGTGGTATTGTTAAGATGGGGGCGAGGCTCAAAATTAAATGGGATCTCGTTTTTGTTGTCGATGGGAGCGCAATCTTAATAGACATGGGAGTACGATCCCATGTTACATGTAACACGTTCTTGTCAAATAAGGATCTCGATCCTAACTTATCAAGATCTCGCTCTCTATTAAAATGGGATCTCGTTTCCTATTCAAACCGGATCTCGCTTCCTAATCAAACGGGATCTCGTTCCGTAAATACATGGAACACATTCTTGTTAAATAGGGATCTCGATCCCAATGTATCAGAATCTCACTCCCTGTTCAAATGGGATCTTGATCCGTAACTTCTACCCTCACCAAAACTCGCTCCGGAGCTTCGGGTAGCCATCGATCCGATGCTCCCGTTCCCGAAATTGGAGTCGCTCCCGTTCTCACTCCCACTCTCGGTAACTATGGTTGCACCTTGCTCCCTAACCACACGAAACTAGATGCCATTTCGGGCTTGGAGCGTAATACTTAAAGAAGCTTTTATCGCGGAAATCTATGTAGGATATTTGTAGGTTATTGGGTCCATCGTAATCAGAATATCTTTTTTCTTTTTTTTTTGAGTAATTTAAAAAAAGACAGACCCCTACCCGTTTTTTCATCATGAGAATACCCGCCCGTCACCACCTTGTATTTCTTAGGAAAGATGGCGGATGGCTGGTCACTATAAAGCTCGGAATAGAATACAGAAAAGTTTGTGTTTGGTAGGCCTGCACTACCAATTTCTACAAAGAAAGTTCTAGAATGTTCCCATGAAAATAAAGAGCCAATTATCTAGACGCAACAAAAAAAAAAAAAAAAAAAAAAAAAATAGTAAAAATACAAAAAGAGTTGAATTGGCTCAAAATTACAAGGAATATCATTTGCTATAGATTTTAAATTTTTTTTCGAAATGCCCCACAGTCCACTTGGTTATCCACTGCCCTTTGAACTCCCCCAAGTTTGCTCTGATATGAATGCCAAGAAGATTGGGAGCTCCCTCGATCCTGAACGCCCCGAATCTCAAACGACCTCACCATCCAAACTGGCAACAAACACTACATCTCTCCTAAAATCGTCATGGGAACCGCCAAATATTTAGAGAAAAAGAACCATCCTTATGATGAGGAGAGCCCCAGAGCAACCTATAACCATTATTTCTACCATGCTCTCGAAGACATGGTCGCAGCCAAACTCCTCGAAACACAAGTTTCATGGTCAATTCACAGGCCCAGACTCTTGATGGGATGTTCCACTTCTTCATTTTTCAACATATTCGGGTGCTTGTCGTGTTTTGTGGGAGTCGAGAGTGCTGGGAGGAGCCCCACATCGATGCCTCAGAAGCTTAGCTCGTGGTCCGGCAACAGATCTGGGCAGCAATCAATGGTGGAGATGCCATTAAGGGGCATGCATTAAACGCAATCAACGGCCAGAATTTAACATGGAAGGAGCATGAAAAATGCTATAAAGTATAACGCAATCTTCTCCTTCCATGTGAAATTCTAACTGTCGATTGGTCGAATGCCTGCCTCTTAGTGGTGTCTCCAATCTCTTTGTATTTTGCCTACTTTTGTTTGTGCCCTTAATTGGCTCTAAAATAAAATCATTAGCCAATCTTGATGAACACCCAAGAAGCCCATACTTAAAATAATATTGGATGGATGGATGAAGGGGAGGCATAAATTGCTGAAATCAGAAGATTAAATGCTTAGTCCTCATCTTGCATTGAAGTACCCTTTATATGCATCCTCAGAGACATACAATACATATGCACACAAGGCCGATAGTGATTTGATCCGGATCAGACTGTTGATACACTATTATCAACTGTTATTTTCGGGCTGCAATTAATATATAACATGATCGGATCAATAGTAGTTGTTTAATTAAGATCCAATGGTTAGTTTCAGAAAAAATCAAGATCGGATAGCCATCAGCCCAAATAAAAATCATATATGCTGCCACCCATAGAAATATGGCCTTATATTATTTGTCCTTTCAAGAATAGATCTATATAAAGTGTGACATGCAAGTGGAAATATCAATTGGGATTTGGAGGTTGGGTTCCCACTTCTTGTCTTCTTGCTTTGGTAGTTAAATCGTTGAAGATTGAGAAACCAAATCCAAGATTCGGATCCTGCTTATAAGCTTCTTTAAAAGCATATATATTTATATTCTTTGACTGTTTATATCTATATCTATCATTCTATGCACTATATCCACATTGTAGTGTAGAAAATTTATAGTTACACTATGCAAACTTGATTGACCATGTTTAATATAGTGGCATGCACAAGGCAAGATTGCAAGGAAAATACATTAATGTATATTAAATTCAATAAATAAATTATTAATTAAAAAACTAATCAATACATGATTTCTTAGGTCACTTTGGCATATATTGTAAAGGAGTCATATGATTTTAGTTTTTTTTTTTTTCTTTTTTTCCAGAAACAAATGATGTATAGAAATGTGACTTCACAACAGTTTATTGTTGACATCAGACGGCAGATAGGGTGGTAGGATACTATTGAACTCCAGTAGGTGGTATCAAAGTCTTCTGCATTATATGATGGGAAATATATTTGTCAGCCCTTTTGCCTATGATATAGTATAGGTCCCACCAGCTCCTGGAATACTATTTTTCAAGGAAAAATAGTTAGAGCATTAAAAATTTAGAACCAAATGGGGCACAAAAATTAGTGAATATATATTAATTCACATCACTTGTAGGTAGGTCAAGAGCTTTTTTTCATCAAATAACTTTGATCTTTGACGATATATTAAAAACATTAGACGATTATGATACCATCCAGAAAGAGAAGTAATAATATATTGTAATTTTGTAGAACTTAGAAAAAATTATTAAAAGACTTTCATAGCAATGGAAAAACAATGTTATACAACATGGTCAAATGGTAAAACATAGATGAATAATTACTAGAATTAATTTTAAAAATGCGAAATTAAATCGCATCTAGAATGTAAGCACAATTCAAAGATAATATTCGTTTTTGTTGATCAAACACATTTAAATGTTACAATTAGCTATCTTCACATACTAATAAAGTTTAAAGGGAAGTTCTATAGGACAACTGTGAGGCCAACTTTACTTTATGATATGAAAATTTAGCAATCAAGAAACAACATACCAACATGATTAGTCTAGCTAAGGGAAGAATGTTGAGATGGATGAGTGACAAGACAAAAAAAAATAGAATTCAGAATGAATATATTCGAGAGAACTTAGAGGTGGCTCCAATAGGCGACATGAAGAGGGAAGGCTTTAAAATGACAAAAAGAAGACCAAAGGGACATGGATAGAAGTAGTGATAATCTTATGTATTGAATTGTAGTTTCGTTGAGGATATGACCGTTGATAGAGCGGAATAGTGGAACAAGATTTACGTAACTAATCTCAAATAGTTGAGATACGGCTTTAGTGATGATATACCTCAAAGTATAATATGCTAAAATTACAAAATTGACATTAACAATTGATATTTATTTAATGATGGGGTTTATATGAGGCCTAGGCCATACGACAAAAAGTAAAGTCGTAAGTCGAACCCTCTACGAATGTAGCTCTAATGTTGAAACCTATAAAACGGTTTGAAAGTTTTTTTTAACTCCTAATTATAAAATTTAATAATTTTCCAGCCGTCTTATGGGTTTCAAGCACATATTCAGTACGTAAGATGATGTTTTTCTTTTTATTTTTTAAATTTGGGACCCTAAAAATACTCCTAGAGTAGAGAATGAATGAACACTATGCTTCTGAGGGAGCATATATAATTTGGCCTAGTTTAAATGATTTATATTAGCTCCTAAAGCAACCTAAACGTCAAGTGATATCACTGGTATTTTATAAGGTTTGACTTCCATTAAAAGGAGGATGAAATTAGAAGTGGATTGAATGATAAATTAAGGACAAAAATATAATTAAAAGTAAACCCCTTCTATTGTGTGTTGTTATAATAAAAATAATCACAATAAGAAATAATTAAAACAACAAAACAAAAGCATTATTAACAATAATGTTAAAATAGTACAAAAGTAATTGACTAGGCAACTAGGTGGAAGAGACTGATATGTTGTCCAAGATAATTGTTGGGCAAGCATCACATAGGTTTTATCTCTCAATTTCTTTTTTTTAAATCCTTATAGAAAAGTTTAGCCTCATCATCTATGATGCAAACCCTCTCCCTATCCAATAATTCAACAAAAGGCTTGCATCACTCCAAACTAACTTGTGAGGCACTCCTACATTCCCCAATATATAGCAGCCCTTAAAAAAAGGCTACGTGTGAATAGGTCAGGTACCACGCAAGCTAAAAAATGCAAATTAGAAATTAAATTTTTTGGGAAATACCACTGAAATGGTCAAATTAT